TTGAATATACCAGTTTTTATCTATTCTCCTGCTGTTGGACAACTCCCCTGTTTCCAGTTTCTGGCAACAGTGAATAAAACTGCTATAAATAGTCTAATACAAGTCTTTTTGTGGACATATGCTTTCATTCCTCTTGGGTAAATACCAGAGTGGAATGGCTGGCTGAAAGAATAGGTGTGTTTAATTTTATAAGAAACTTCCAGGCCTTTTTCCAAAATGGTTGTTCCATTTTACATGTGTTGCTTCACATCCTCTCTAACATTTGGTGTTGTCATTTAAATTTTAGTCATTCTAGTACAGAGCTAACTCATTGAAATTTTAATGTTCATTTCTCTACGACTAATGACACTGAATACTTTATCATGTGCTTATTGGCCATTCAAATATTTTCTTTTGTAAGGTCATCTGTCTTTTCATTGTTGAGTTGTAGGAGTTTTTAATCTATTCTAAATATAAATTCTTTGTTGAAATATATGTGTTGTGAATACTTTATCCTGGCCTGTAGCTTGTTTATTCGTATTCTTAATAGTGTCTTGAATAAAAAGTTAAAAATTTTTTGGAGTTCAGTTTATCAGTATTTTTTCTTTTGTGGCTAGTGCTTTCAAAACCCTCTCCAAGAAAGTTGTGCCTACCCCCAACTGAAAAAATTCTCGTATGTCTTCTAAAAGCATAATAGTTTTGGCTTTTATATTATGGCCATGATCCATCTCAAACTTTTATGTATGGTGTGAGGTAAGTTTCCTTTTTTCTCATATAAATATCAAATTGTTATAGCATCGTCTATTGAAAAGACTTTCCTTTCCCCACTGGGTTGCTTTGGTACCTTTGTAAAATATCAAACTACTTCATATTTAAGTTTATTTAACCATTTATAAAATGTTTTTACATATACATTCTCTTAACATTCTCTCACTGGGGGTGGATATGTTTTCCTCATTTTACAGCTGAGAAAACCAAGGCTCAGAGTAGTATAAGAACTTGTCCAAGGAGATACAGAGCTGGGGACTAGAACACAGAACTACTACTGAATCCTTAAAAAAAAATGTTTACATTTTAAAACTATTTTATCTAATGGAAATATTACTAAATGGACACTTTTTCTGAAGGTGATGTAGTAACAGAAATGAGTAAGTGCATATTTTTATATTTCAACACTGGTGGTAGTTTTAGATTGCCAGCCAAACATTTGCTTCCTTTGTAGGCTTATGTATGTCTAAAACAATTTTTACATTACGCATCTTTGTTTTAAAAGGGTAAAAAATCACAATGCTTGCTTTGCAAAATTTGGTAAGAATAATAATAATAGCTTTTAATAGCTTTTGGTAAGAATAAAAGTTGCTTGGACTTTAGTTAAGATAAAGAATGTATTTCCCTCACCCTGATCTAAAAAAAAAAAAAAGGTCTTACTTTTTGATTTTTTCAGAGAAATACAGCAGTATTTGAAGGTACACATCATGAAGATAGATGGAAAAACTGTAAGAAAACACAATAGCTACTCTTGCTTTTTTTTTTTCCCTTTATCCCCTACTCTGTTACATACTTGAGCACCCAGCTTGTCTTCAAATGCTTGTACTACCTTCTTTTCCAATCTCATGGAAGCAGTTTTCTGGCAACCTTGATCGTTTGCTGAGACTTGGCCAACCTCAATGTTCTAATTCTCCAGATCACCTATGCCTGCCCCTGAATTATCAGTCTTCTATGCCTATCTCATTTGTCCAACTGTGACTCACAAATAAATGGCCTGTCTTTCTGGCTCACTATTCAGGGAAGAACCACTTTTCCCCAAGTACAGGGAGGCAACCTTATTAAATCCACTGGTCCATAATATAATTATATGTTAGAGATGTCACAACTGAAGTATCTACATCTGGTGAATTACATAGACTAAGAGAGTCACACAGGTATTTGAAACCAACCTGGGGCCAGAGCTCGTATCTTCTTGGTAACTTCATTATTCTTCTCCCATACTGCATGTCCTCCCCCTAAATATCTGTTAAGCCAAGATGCTATAAAGTGAAACTAGGTTAACTATTCCTCACCCTAAGATGCAAAAACTGAGGCCATAGTGGGGAATGTGTAACAACCAGTCGGAGTCAGGTTTCTGAGACCAAGTCTGTTGGGCTAGCCATTACTTTTGTCTTTTATCAAAACAGAGAACTAAAAAAGGCATCATAAACTCAAGGACGAACACACATATCCCAATGACTATTTTTTATTACAAGAGAGTTATGTGATCTTTGTGCATGGTAAGTGCTACCAAATAGCATACTTTGGAATCTCCTTCTGAGAGTGACTGTCAGAAGTCTAGGTAGTGAGTGGTACCTGATCAATAGTCTTGGGATAGGAAAGTTTCTCATCAGAAAAAGTAGAAAGTGTTTACCATTGCCCCTCCTACTTACTTAAGAGGAAGAGGAAGACATTCTGTAATAGTTTTAATATGATAAAGATACCCTAGTGCTCAAACTAATTGTTCTTGAGAGACAAAGTTGTAGGTCTTAACTTCCTGATTTCAAAACTTAAAGCTCCAATAATCGAAACAGTCTGAACTGGTACAAGGATAGACATAAAGACCAATGGAATGGAACTGAGAGTCCAGAAACTGAACCCTACATTTATGGCCAATTGATTTTTGACAAGGGTGCCTAGACAATTCAATAATGGAGAAAAGAGTCTTTTCAATAAGGTGCTGGGATAACTGGGATATCCACATGCAAGAGAATTAATTTAGACTCTCTACCTCACATATACACAAGAATAAACTTGAAATGGATCAAAGATTTAAATATAAGAGCAAAAACTATAAAACTCTTAGAAGAAAACACAGGTGTTATTCTTTGTGATCTTGGATTAGGCAAATGATTTCTTAGATAGGAAACCAAAAGCACAAATGACAAAAGAAAAAAGAGACAAATTGGACTTTATACAAATTAAAAACATTTGTACTTCAAGGGACACCAACAAGAAAGTAAAAACAACCCAGAGAATGGAAGAACAAATTTGTAAATCATATACCTGATGAGACATATCTAGAATATATAAAGAACTCTTAGAACTCAATAATGAAAGGACAAATCACTCAGTTAAGAATGGGCAAGACAGGGGCCCTGGGTGGCTCAGTAGGTTGAGTGTCTGACTCTTAGTTTCAGCTCGGGTCATGATCTCTGGGTTGTGAAATTAAGCCCTGTGTGGGGCTCCACACTCAGCACAGAGTCTGCTTAAGATTCTTTCTCTCCCTCTGCCCTTCTCCCAGCTTGTATGCTTGCTCTCTCTCTCTCTAAAATAAATAAATCTTTTTTTTAAGATTTTCATTTATTTATTTGAGAGAGAGCGAGAGTGATCACAGAGGGAGATGGAAAGGGAGAAGGAGACTTGCTGCTGAGCAGAGAGCTCGATGCGGGGCTCAATCCCAGGACCCTGAGATCATGACCTGAGCTGAAGGCAGATGCTTAACTGACTGAGCCACCCAGGAACCCTGAAAATAAAGAAATCTTTAAAAAGATAAAAATAATAAAAATGGGCAAGGGATACGAATAGACTTTTCTCCAAAGAAAAAATATAAATGGTCAATAAGCACATAAAAAAGATGCTCAGTATCATTAGTCATTGGGGAAATGCAAATCAAAACCATAATGAAATATCCCTTCATACCCACCAAAATGGCTACAATCAGAGAGATAATAGCAAGCCCTGGGGATGGTGTGGAGAAATTGAACCTTCAAACCTTGTGGTGAGAATGTAAAATGGTGTAGTCTCTCTAGAAAAAGTTTGGAGTTTCTAAAAAAGTTAAACATTGGATTACCATGTCTCCCAGCAATTCCACTCCTAGATAAATACACCAAAGAACTGAAAACATATCCACACAAAAAACTTGTACATGGATGTTCATAGCAACACTATTCATAATAGCCAAAAAAGTGCTAACAACCCAAAAGTCCATCAACTGATGAATAGATAAACAGAATCTGGTATATCTATACAATAAAATATTATTTGGCAAATAAAAAAAGTACTGATATATGCTATAAGATGCTAAGTGAAAGAAGCCAGACACAAAAGAACACATATTTTATGACTTCATTCTTAGGAATGTTCAGAATAGGCAGATCTATAGAGACAGAAAATAGATTAGTTGTTGCCAGGGGATGGGGAGGGTGGTGAATTGGGGTGATAAAAATGGTGATGGATATACAGTTTCGTGGATACACTAAAACCCAATGAATTGTATGAATTATATCTCAATTAAAAAAAGAAAAAAACAAGTATAGCATACCTGAAAGTTTTCCAAAACATAAACAAAAACTTGAACACTTCTCTATGGTTTGAATTAAGTTTTATAAATGTTACCTTTTTCTTTCTTTTTTAAAGATTTTATTTATTTATTTATTTATTTATTTGGGAGAGAGAGAGTAGGTGTGTAAGTAGGGGGAGGAGCAGAGGGATACTGTGGGGGGCAAGAATCTCAAGCAGACTCTACACACAGAGCCTGATGCAGGGCTCCACTTGGGGCTCGATCTCACCATCCTGAGCCGAAACCAAGAGTTGGACCCTTAATCTACTAAGCCATCCAGGCGCCCCACCTTTTTCTTCTTCAACAATAATAATCATAGTGATAAAATAGCATACTTATTAAACACTTACTAGGCATGTAGCAAGCATTTTATACTTGGTATTCTCTCTCAGATCATCTCAATGATCTTGTACATGGAGTTATTATCCCATTTTATAGAAAGGCAATTGAAGATAAAAAAGGCTGAGTAGGGGCGCCTGGGTGGCTCAGAAGGTTAAGCCTCTGTCTTCAGCTCAGGTCATGATCTCAGGGTCCTGGGATTGAGCCCCGTGTAGGGCTCCCTCCTCAGCGGGGAGTCTGTTTCTCCCTCCCCCTCTGCTGCTCCCCCTGCTTGTGCTCTCTCCGTCAAATAAATTAAAAAAAAAAAAAAAAGAGGCTGAGTAATTTGCACAAGGTTATGTAAGGGTAATTAAGTCTGACTCCAGAGGTTCTATTATGCAATTCCGTTTTCCTTAAAACAGTGACTTACCGGTTTCAAATACTAATTTCTTTTTCAATGTATTATGTTGTTCTTTCTATTACCATCAATGAATTAGATATCATTTTGGGGCCTAATATTAAATAATGATCTTACTTCCTTAGTTTATTGAGCACAGAGCAAAGACAGAAAAAATTCCCATATGGTAAGTTTTTATTTGTATCAAATCACAGAGTATCATAGGTAAATATAAGATTATAATTTGAATACTGTAATATAACATAATTTGGCAAATTATTTAATTATCCAAAGTTTATTACATGTTTGAGTATGTGCTAAAGAGATTATTTGGCATAACTTGGCAAGATACATATTTCTCTACCTTATTTGACCATTTATCATTTATCTATGTGGTATACGTATACGTATGCATATACACACGTACATATACACTTACACACACTCCTAAATTAAATATACTTGTATAAAAAGCTGAAGATTGATGTGTTAGAATTAATTCCTGTTTAAAAATCTATTATATTAAATTGCATCTGCATTCAAAGCAGAAATGTAAAAACTGATCAATTTGCTAAATACACATGAATTTACAAAGTAATTGAAAATAAAATAAAAATTTCCATTGAAATGTTATATTCCTGTTTAATCAACATTTAAGTGGCACTATCAAACTATGGAAATTGACATTATTTTTTTAGGTTGTTGAGAGAATAAAGATTCTACTGAGCATTACTGTATTCCCTAAATTAGGAATGAATATTATTATAGTAGGAAAAGAAGGCAGATAATTTTCTTCTTTATTAATATGGGAATTCTCAGGAAGCAATCAAGGCAGTGTCTATACTCCTGGGCTTGGGTTTCCTGCTTTTCTATCAGTGGAAGTCTGGCTTCTCAGGAAAAGTGCAGCCAGTCCGCCTAATTATGACGCTTGCAGCATAGTGACCTGCACGGACGCATTCAGTCAGGGGCTTGTCAGAGACCAGTTGAGACAGAAAACCTGGAACACAGACAAAAGGGAAGAACATGAGTATTGCTATTATAACAGTATGAGAAAGGTCATTTTGGGTCAGGCCAAAAATTAGTCTATGTACCTATCCCTTTCTTCAGTATTGATAGTTAAGTGTTAAACCTCAAGTGTTAGAGAGTTCTTCCCCCAAACATCATGAGCTTCCCTCGATATTTCTTTTAAAGAGCTCAAGTTGGGACATGACGACTCACCATCAAGTCATTCTAGTCTTTGTATGCCTAAACCATCATCATGCTTTCCTTTAGTTTTGAGATTAAGAGGTTGTGAGTAAGAAGTACTGGCCAAATAATATTACCTTGGGTTTTTGTAGCCGAGAAGGTATTCGTTATCCCTCTCCATCTGTCTGGACTCCTTACATGTTGTTATTCCTAGAATACTGCTTTTGGGCAAAATTCTATCATCTGGGTGTCTCTCCAAGTACAGATTTAAGAGCTGAAGAGTTACAAAGGACCTTACATCTCCCTTTTACTCCAAAAAGCAACAGTGAAGTGATCTCTATAGTCAAACACCATGGACCAGCTTGACATTAAAATAAATGTGATAAAGTAGAAAATAGTGTTGAGGACTTCTGTTTCTGACCAAGATGAAATAAAAGGAACCACACTTATGCTTTCTCCAGAAACAACTCAAATAAAGACAAAGTAAATGAAACAAGATTTTTCAAATATTGTAAAAGATCCAAGAAAGAAGGGAAACAAATGGGATAAACTGTAAAATTGCTCTAGCTTACCACCTAGAGAGTTACTAGGCTACAACACAAGGAGCGACAACCTAGGCAGAGCTCAACAGTCTCACTGAGTTGAGGAGATGGATTTGGGAGTCTAAGTAGGACAACATTAAACATGTAGGCAGAATGATCAGCAAATAAGAGAGAGAAGACATAAATTACCAGTATTGGGAATAAGAGAGATGATGTCACTAGAGAATCTATATACACTAAAAGAATAATAAAGAAACATTACCAACTTTGTGCCAATAGATTTGACAAGTTGATGAATTGGACAAAATCCTGGAAAGACACAAACTATCAAAGCTCAAGCTCAGGAAGAAATAGATAACCTGATTAGCTTTGCACCTATTAAATATATTGATTTTACACTTAAAAAGCTTCCCATAAAGACAATTCCAGGCCCAGGTGGTGGCACTGGTGAATTCTAACAAATATTTAAGGAGTAAAAATAATATTAGTCCTATTCCTATACAATAACCTCTTCAGAAAGCTGAAAACTGAAAATACTTCTTAACTTACTCCTTGAAGCCAGCATTACTCCTACACCAAAATTAAAAAAGATGCAAATATTTTAAAGAAAATTTTAGCAAATCGAATCCAATAGTATATTTAAAAATATAATAATTTATTATTATAAACCCACCTAGGAATGCAAGGTTGGTTTAACATTCAAAAATTAGTCAATATAATTTAGCATAACTAACAAAACCATAAGATCACCTAATGCAAGAAGAAAAAGCATTTGGCAAAATCCAACATACATTTCTAATAACAACTTTAAGCAACCTAGGAATAGAAGGGAACGTGCTCACCCTGATAAAGGGCACTTAAAAAATTTACAGTTAAAATTATTAATGGTGGATGATGGAATGTTTTCCCCTTAAGATCAAGACAAAAATGTTTGTTCTTAAACACTGTACTGGACACTTTAGCCAGTGCAATAAGGCAAACAAAAGAAATAAATAAAAGGTATCAAGTGCTAACTTTGGCAGCACATATAGTAAAATTGGAATAATACAGAGAAGATTAGCATGGCCCTTGCACAAGGATGATAAGCAAATTCGTGAAATGTTTCACATTTAAAAAAAAAGGCATCAAGATGGAGAAAGAAGTAAAACTGTCTTTATTTGCAAATGGTATGATTGTCTAAGTCTATGGTTCTCAACAGTGGATAATTTTGTTCCCCCCCACAGCCCCAGGACATTTGGCAATGTCTGGCAATTTTTGGTTTTCACAACTGGGGCAGAGGGTGCTACCGGCATCTAGTGAGTAGAATGAGGGATGCTTCTAAAAATCTTACAATGTCTATAATCTGAGATTGAGAAATTACTGGTCTTTGTAAAATATCCTATGGAATCTAGAAAAAAGTTACTAGAACTAGGAAGTGACTTTAGTAAAGTTGCAGGATAGCAAGATCACTACACAAAAATCAATTGAATTTCCATACTGTATACACACCATACTGTGTGTATATATAGCAACTGTATGTACAGCAACAGTTAGAAATTGATATTAAAAATAGCTTTTACCATACCATGAAATATGTGTAGTAATTGATACAAGTATAAGACCTGCACACTGAAAAAGGACAAAACAATGCCGAAAACAGTAGGAAGAAAAACCTACAAAAATGGGGGGATAGATACAGGTCAGGAGATTCAATATTATTAAGAGCTCTAAGAAAATTTTCTGTGGAAAATTCCAGCAGGCTTTTCTTTTTTTTAAAAGATTTTATTTATTTATTTGTCAGATAGAGAGAGAGAGAAAAACACAAACAGGGGGAGTGGCAGGCAGAGGGAGAAGCAGGCTTCCCGCTGAGCAGGGAGCCCAATGTGAGACTTGATTCCAGGACCCCAAGATCATGACCTGAGCCAAAGGTAGATGCTTAACCAACTAAGCCATCCAGGCATCCCTCCAGCAGGTTTTTCTTATAGAAACTGACAAGCTGATTCCAATATTTATGTGGCTATGCAAAAGACTAAGATTAGTCAAACACATCTTTAAAAACAAGACTACCTGAGTTAAAACTTATTATAGAACTAAAATAATCAAGACACTACGCTATTGGCATAAAGAAAAACAGATCAATGCAACTGCACAAAGAGTCCAGAAATAAACCTACTTCTTTTTTTTTACTTTTTTTTCCTTTAATTTTTTATTGTTATGTTAATCCCCATACATTACATCATTAGTTTTTGATGTAGTGTTCCATGATTCATTGTTTGTGCAAATACCCAGTGCTCCATGTAGAATGTGCCCTCTTTAATACCCATCACCAGGCTAACCCATCCCCCCACTCTCCTCCCCTCTAGAACCCTCAGTTTGTTTTTCAGAGTCCATCGTCTCTCATGGTTCGTCTCCCCCTCCAATTTCCCCCCCTTCATTCTTCCCCTCCTGCTATCTTCTTCTTCTTTTTTTTTTTTTTAACTGATATTGCATTATTTGTTTCAGAGGTACAGATCTGTGATTCAACAGTCTTGCACACAGAAATAAACCTACTTCTATAACATCAATTGATTTTTGACAAAAGTATCAAAGCAATCCAGTGGAGAAAAGAAAATTTTTTAAACAAATGGTCTTCGAACAGTTGGATGGCATATTTGAGAAAAAAAACAAACCACTCCAACCCTTACCTACCTCACATCACCTACAGAAATTAACTTGAAATGGATCACAGATCTACCTGTAAGAGCTAAAACTATAAAATTCTGAGAAGGAAACACAGAAAATCTTAGTGATTTTGAATTTGCCAAAAAATCTCGGAAGACATAAAAAGTACACTTTTACATAGGAAAAAATAACTGGACTTTTCCAAATTAAATACTTCTACATCTCCGTAATAAGAAACAACCAATAAAAAATGGGTTCAAAAGAGTTGAATTAACATTTTAGCAAAGAAGATAAACAAATGCCAAATAAGCTCAGGAAAAGATGTTCAACACCATTACTCATTAGAGAAATGCAAATTAAAACCACAATTAGATACTACTGTCAACCTACTAGAATGGCTAAAATTAAAAAAGACTGACCATAACAAGTGTTGACAAGGGTCTGGGTCATTTGGAACTCTCATATATTGATAGTGGGAATATAAAATTATTAATACCACTTTGAAAACCCTATGTCAGTGTCTCAAAAAGTCAAACATACATTTACCATATGACCTAGTCATTCTATTTCTAGGTATTTAACTCAAGGTAAATGAAAGCATATATTCACACCAAAGATTTGTAGTGAATGTTCACAGCAGCTTTATTTATAATAGCCCCAAACTGGAAATGATCCAAATGTGGATGAGAAGAGGAAGGAAGCCAGGATTACAAAAGAGCATGGGAGTAGTGGATATGTCTACAGTGATGGTTTCATGGATGTGTGTTATGTTAACATTTGCAAGATTATACCCTTTAAATATGTGCAGTTTATTGTATATCAGTTATAGTAAAATAAAACTATAAAAGAAGAAAAAAGGGAGAAAGTATTATAGTTACAAATAAGACAGGTCAAGAACAGAAGAATCTGGGGCTATTCTCCCTTTAGGGAAAAACGTGAGCTGCTTAGCAGTACTCAAATACTCAGAAGAACAGATAATGAGAAACTGTTCTGTAGCCAGGCTTCCAGGCTGTTCCCTAGGCCCTGGCAGCCTGCTGGGGGTGAAGATTAATTGAGAAGCTGTAGTATAATGACCTGTAGAGAGCATTATAAGAGATTTATGTTCTTTCTTCTCTACCGCTCTGACCACACAAGCTTTTTCCCTGTCAGATTTGGGGAATGCTCTGTATCTAGTAAAATAAGTATTCCCAACCAAAGAATAAAATTAATTTGGTTAATGGAGTGATATATTTTGAAGACATTTGCTTAGAATGTGAAATCACTCCCTCAAGAGGTTTAGTAAGAGTATTTTATCATTTGAGTTTTCAGGTAACAAAGGTCAATGTTAACTTTCAGCCAAACTGTGAAACTAAAATGCTCAGCCCACACAGTGAATGAAGCAGACACCAAATTCAGAGTCAGATCAGCTTACAATGGAAACACGTCTATGGGAAGCCTTATATGCAACATCTGTTTTCCTCATTCCTTCTGGTATGATCTTTGTGAGAAAAAGAAAAGCTTACGTTTATGAAATATTTTTGTGAAGCATAAGTACCAGCATCCTCTTTCTAAGAGAAGAGCTAGTTGATGTCTGAAGTGAAGTGCTCTGAAGAGACATTTGCATTGATAAGTGGAAAGCCTGAATGCAGAA